TATTTTGTTATTCATATTTATATGCAGTGCCTGTGCGTATTGTTGTTGTTAGATAACAAAATCTCAGGCATTGCCCAAAACTTTGTTTCACTTCTCTTTCTAAATTAAGACATAATCGTATACTTATTTGATTGTATGATACACACACACACACACACACACACACACCTATTACACATACATACACACACACACATTGCCATTACAGAAAAAAAACTTAAGAGCTTAATGAATTGTTTGATGTTAGTTGTTTTGCTTGCTGTTCTTGTTGTTGTTTAGCTTTGGCCCGCCTATCCTCAAGGACTTAGATCCTGATGCAGATTGGGATCGTAGCCGCCCATGCTATTGTCGTATGGCTGCTGCTGATCGTAGCCACCGGAGCCGCCCATCGGATAGCCCATCGAGTCCTGTGGCGGTGCTGGCGACATCATTGGCGTTGTTGTGCCGCTCGGTGGCCCAGCCATTGAATAGGGCGAGGCGCCGGCCGCCTTTTTGGCTGCATACAGATTGGCCTCCTCTTGGGCCTTGCCAATGTTCTTCTTATAGCGAATGCGCTTGTTGCCGAACCAATTCGATACTTGTGAGACCTGCAAGCAGTCAGCGATAAATATCGATAGTTATCACCGATCACTGGGGATCCGCCCCGATTCGACTTACTGTTATGCCGCACTTGCGCGCCAACTCCTCCTTGGCCTCTTCGGATGGATACGGATTGCTCAAGTGACTGTAGAAATACTCGTTCAGTATCTCCGATGCCTGTTTGCTGAAGTTGCGTCGCTTGCGGCGGGCGTCGAGGAAACGCGATCGCAGTATCATCACCGCCTCGCAGGTCGATTGCTTCAGCTGCATTTGGATGGAGCTGAACTTCTTGTGGATGATCTGGACCATGCGCTCGATTTCTTTGGGTGTGATGGGCCTGATGAGCGAGACGGAGGAATGAATGCCAAGGCAAATATTAATCAAGTTTTTTGCTGTTCGATCGATTATTGGCTATCGATAAGTGGCTCATTATGTATCTCTCTCTCTCTCTCTCTCTTTCTTAGCTTGGCTGTGAAGCATCGAATAGATTTATCACCTGCTCTTCTCGCCCTTCTAGTAAATGATCGATTAATGACTATCGATAATGATAAACTGGTCATCTAAGTACGTATGTCTCTTTCTCTCTCTCTCTCTCTTGTAGTTGATGTAGGACTTTAGCAACAGCTCTACTCCCATTCTCTAATCTTACTTAAGCTCTTCTCCATCCATTGAGCACTCGTTCAATAAGTTTATCGATAACGCTTAGCTTAACTCTCTCCCTTTCTCTCTTACCTGGTGCGGCTCTGTTCGCGCAGCAGATTCATGACGTGTGTGGTGAACTCGTTGCATGCCTGTTCGTACTTCTCCAGCTCCTGGTGATAGATCTGACGAATTTGTGCCAACTTGGCTCGATAGTCCGAATGTTCGATGGCATTGTCCGCTCCATCGATGGACAGGGAGCCGCCTTGGCTGGCGGCCGCAGCTGAGGCGGCAGCAGCTCCACCGCCACCCTTCTCGGGACCAGCCACGCCCTCGGCGATGAGCATGTTGTCCAGGCGCATCAACTGTGGATCTGGTGGCTCCTCCTCTTGCGTGTTACGAATGGAAAGGACTGTAAAAGCAGAAGAGCAAGAAACACAAATTGCAATCAGCAAGCGAAGCAGTCAGAAGAAAAGTTCTCATTTCCCCACCCTCCCTCTCTCTCTCATTCTCTCGGGCCGTCTCTCTGGCATCAAGGGAAACTGTTTCGACTTTCGCATTGTTCAACAGGAAGTGCAAAAAGCACATCTAAAATTTTATTGCCTCGAGCAACAGCAAAAGTTTTCACTAGACACATATACAGATACAGATACAGATATATAGACATCTGCATGCTGTGCTATTGTCTGGGGAAATGCGTTTTCCATTTTATACCCTGTAGTCCGTGGAGAGTGCGTAAAGCGGGCTATATTAGTTTGACAGCTGATGCGTGAGATAAATTTCATTGGCAAACTCTGTGTACTCGATAAACAGACTAATATATCGATAAATATTGATTTAGCTATTAATGGCTTTAGGGCATATCTAGAGATGTGAAGTATTATTGATGCTTAAAATATATAATTACGTATATGAAATATTATGAATATTTCCTAAGACAGGTGCAAATGTTCACACTTCGATATCGATATCGATAACAAAGAATCCATTTCCGAATACTATGCTACATTTTATATTTTGTCAAACCTGGGCACATTTAGTTAACCTTAGCTACTGCTGTTCACAGTCCGAGGTATTCGCTAGTCGAGTATCCGCCCCCAATGCCCAGCATCCGCCTGGGCCATATTATATTCGCCCAGCCATGGCTATGCATGAATTAGATGCCGCACATGCCGCACGCTGCTTGTGTTTCGAATCTTAATCACGTTTCGCCAAGGAGTTAGCCAAAGCCAGAGCTAAAGCTAAAAGCATTTCGCGAATGCCAACAATTGACTTTGTCTCTCTCCATCTCACACACACTCTCCCTCTCCCTCTCTATCTCTCTCTGTCTCGCTGGTCTCACGCATAAGCTCATCAGCATTGGCAGAGCGTAGCCGAGAATATTCCTGGCGAAAGGACAACAGCTTTCAATGTGGTTAGGGGTATTCCTTTCGCTCCTTTCGGCTGCTTCTTCTACTTCTATGTATTATGCAGACGTTGCGAACAGAAACAATTGCTGCCAACAGGATAAGCATAAGCACAAAACATGTAATGAAATCCCAGCCCCGCACTCTCCCTATCCCTCTCCCTCTACCGCTAGCCGTCCTCCTGCCCGCTCTTTGTCTTGAATAAAACATTTCGAGCTGTCGCCTCTTAAATGGACTTAAATATTTGAGGAACAAATTTAATAACTCCCTAACCAAGAAACCTTTGAAACTTTTGTTACCAACTTTTCAAAATGACTTTCGGCTGAATGATAAGAAAAGTCTTGAAGAAGCTGAATGTGATGAGAGCACTGCGAAAGGTTTATCTAAAGTGAGTTAGTTCTTGCGCTTTATTCAAAGTTTTAGGTTCCTTGATACATTCTAACCAAAAAAACCATCCTCAACCAAGTTCACAGAGAGTAGAATAGACCTGTCTTTCGTCGAGAAAACAGAAGAGTCGAAATTACAGTGGAAAGAGACAAGAGAGAAGAGCAGAAAGAGAAAGAGAATAGTGGAAGCGAGGACCACAAAATAATTGGAGATCGATCACTTTCTCTTGAGATGAAATGATAAAACATTCATTCTTTCGATCAGCTCTTCATACTCAAATCAGATATCTAACAGAGTCGCATAACTACTCCAAGCTTGACCTTCCAAGTTGACCTCTAGTGGCAGTCAATCGGATTCCATTTATATGAATTATTTCCATACCGACAATTCTGATAATCGCTTAATAAGCACATTAAGCGCGTTAACTACACATTTAACAGCCGACGAAATGATCCGTAAATGTTAATTAACATTAACAGAAAGACATTAACAGCATGTCACATTAGTATTCGCCGCTTAATGCAATTAAAGCCTCAGATGGAATTTATTTCGCCCAGCGGAAGAACATATTGGACGACGGCTGCGCTCATACATACAAAAGTAAAAAGGGGGCGGCAGGGGCGTGGCTTAATGTTAATATGAGCATATCGAAAGTTTGAGGGGTGACAGAAAGAAAGGGAGAGGGTGTGTGGAGACGGAGAACAGCAACTGTTGCGACTTTTGCGTTGACGTCGGTGGTTGCTTTATTTCCTTTAAGGTTAGCCGGAATATTGCCAAAGTTTTAACCACAAAGGGCGGCGGGGCGTGGCAGTTGATATAAGTTTCGGGGAAGGGGCACGAATTGCTCTGATTAGAAGAGCGCGTAAATGAAGCATAGGCAACTTGAGTCTAGACAAAGTTCTTATCTCCAGTTCGTAAATCATGCAACAGGATTTTTAGCCCAGTCCAAAGTTTTACGGGAATTACTATATACCATACCAGAGCCGATAGAAACTTGTAGAGTACGATGATAAGCGAAGAATCACCATTTTATTTTTAGACTTGGGTAGTTTCAATAGTTCTCTAGATAGAGGCAAGAGATATGCGAGAATACTCTGTGAATCTTGAGCGATTCAGTAATCAGCTCTATTTGGTTCAGTTCAGTTAAAAAGCTAAGCGAACTCAAGTGAACTAGTTCATAAAATTAACAGTTCACGATGCGATGGAAGAGCGGCATGAACTTGTTCATCATTTGGAATTAAAAATTCCAGATCTTAGTATGTATATATATAGATACTAGAAAACCCAGAACTAGTTCTTTGTCTTTCATCTTTCATCTGCCTTTATCATTTGTGTCGTCATATCATCTCTCTCTTTCGTATGTGATCTCTCTGATCTCCTCCGCTCTATTCTGCCTCATTTCCCTCTTTTTCTTCACTCCTTTTTCCGTGCCTCTTCTTCTTCAAATTAAATTCGAATTTTCTTTAATAAATCTTTTGAGTTAGTCTTGAGCTGCTTTCTATTTTAAATTTTTCAACTGCTTCACATTTTGTCTTCTTCTTCATCGTCAGGAAAGGACAACCCTTTTGTTTAGACCGTCTCAGAGAGAGAGAGAGAGAGAGAGAGAGGGATGCGGCGAGGTAGTTACACGAAGGGAATTTGCGTATCTAATGAAGCATTTTGAAAGCAGCCAGCTAAATTGCAGATGGCTACATAGATAGATAGAGCTGTTACCTTAGAGCAGAGCTCAGAATCGGTGGGCGTGGCGGGTGGCGTATTTGAACGAGGCTAGAGCGGGCGGAGGTTTCGAATGGCATTTCCAGCTCGTAAATTTGAATGGGCCAAAAACGCAAAAAGGACGAAAGCGAAGCAGGATGAAACTGAAGCAGCAGCAGGAGCAGGAGTTGGAGTAGGAGCAGGAGTCGGTGCCAGCGTCGGACTGTTTCATATAAATAAACATATCGCGGGGCCTGTTGTACTCCTCAGATGCAAATATAT